CGTTGCGCAGGTCTCTGACAACGAACGTGTACTTTATTCTGACTATAGCATCTAAGCACAGGTTATTGCTGTATTAAATATTTGATAGGCCGTTTTTGGCTAATTCTCGACACTTTCAAAAATGGTTACTCAAGTTTAAACGCAGCTCTCTCAGTCAATATTGCACGAAAATGCACAGGGCGTATATCAAAATTTAAGTTAGACAATACTGAATCCGATGCATGTATATGCATATATATGCATATATATATATATATATATATATATATATATATATATATATATATATATATATATATATATATATATATATATATATATATACTAGATAAAACATGAGCAGCCGATCTGTATTCGTCTGTATGAGCAGCCGATCTGTATTCGTCTGTATGAGCAGCCGATCTGTATTCGTATCTCGCCTTCGGCTCGAGTTTGTATATCAGATACAGATCGGATGCGAATGTTTTATCGTACTTAAAAAATGACCCATCTTATGAGTTCATTGGAGAAGTAATTTTAAAAATAAACATTGTCTAAATCAAAGCTGAAATTTATGTAAATCAGGTCAAATCTTTATCCGATTTACAAACATTGATTAAACATTCATTTCTTTTGTATTTTCCTCGTGAATTATTAATGAATTTTTCAAATATGTATATTAATCCTCCGCTAGCCTATAATGGGCAAGTCTATAACTTTCCCACCATATTAAATCATTATGAACATGTAAACAATTAATTACCACAATGACAATATTAATGAAGTAAATATTATAAAAACTGGCAGTCAGGTATAATAAAACCACAAAGGCCAGTGCTGACACAAAACAATATAATTTCCTGTACACAATATTTAATCATTAACAACATTTTTGAGTAAGATGCGAGGCAAATATTAAGATTTTTTAGTTCAAAAACAACAGAAAACTTAAAATATTTGTGGAGAAAACCAGGGGTGTTAAGGACATCGTCAGAAGCTTAGGATCGCGGTTGGTCAGTGGCAAATGCCATAAGAATAAAGTAAGGGTTGTCATCATGGAAATGGCCTCAGATCCGCCATGTTTTTGGCGACACTTTTTGTGCCGAGCAGGTCCTCCAGTAATATAGTATAGCTTAGTGGAAGCAAGTGAGATCTGTGAGACATGTACAAGATATTTATTACACGCTTGTTGCCCACACTAATTTTTTTTGTATGATGCAGCACCTTAGTCTCCATTTCAGACACGCAAAATAGCTAAATGAAACTGAACTCTGAAAATTCAACATGTCTATGTGGATTAAAGAAATTATATTATTATGATCATCTGCCATCTTATTGTTTAACTGCTGGATTGTACAATGCAATTTTTAATGTAGTAAGTGCACCCAGCTAATTTCAGATTTCAGACAGTGGCGTTGGATGTTACCATGAACTGCTTTAATTGTACTATTAATAATCAGTTTATTGTACGATCATCCAGATTAAAATTTTCAAATTGTTTCTGACCTTTCAGTTACCGATCCTATCACACTTACAAAAATATACAGTTATATTGATTTTAAGTTCTTTGAATGTTTGCATGGCGATAAAATATAATTGTTTTTGTTTGTGGAAACACCACGTAAATTTATTACTGCAAAGCTTTCGATCCGTAAGCCCGGATCTTCATCAGTGCTAATAATATATGCTCATATTATTAGCACTGATGAAGATCCGGGCTTACGGTCGAAAGCTTTGCAGTAATAAATTTACGTGGTGTTTCCACAAACAAAAACAATTATATTGATTTTATCTCGCGTTAAAATGACGTGCGTGTGTTCGTGAAGTTGTTTGCTTGCGCGTGCGTTTAACACATGCGCGATCCGGTGTTCATGAGCAATTACGGAGCTTTAGATTTGACTACGAGTACGACTACGAGTACGAGATTTGATCGCGTGCTAGGAAATTACCGTAGTCGTTTTCGTTTCCATTCAAATATGGCTTTTATAGCAGTAAACCAACAACGAGAGAAAAAGTTTCATAAACTAAATCTCCTGGAGACTAAAATCCCCTACAAAACGTGTAAACAAGTCATAACATTAAAAACAGGCCAGAGATTTATAGTACTAATATATTATTTGCGCCGGATAAACGCTATATAAATGCTACAAATTATTCTTGGAAAACAAAAAAAATCCAACTTTCTTTGTTTTTTTGAAAAGTCGTCGTAAGGACTACGAGATTTCTCCACAATTTCGTACTCAGATGGGCGACGGCTACGACTTTTTCGCGTCAGTACGGGATGGCGTAACCATACAGCATCAATGCGTTTTCGCTTGACGAATCTCGTACTCGTAGTCGTACTCGTAGTCAAATCTAAAGCTCCCTATTAGTCCAGCGTATGCTCCTGGCATATTGCGGCAAATGTTGATGCTGTTTTCAACGCATTTATATTTCGTCAACCAGCTTTCTAAAAACATTCTCTCATCCTCAAAACCATCAAATTCCATTTTGAGAATGAGGAAATGTTTTTAGAAAGCTGGTTCACGAAATGCGAAGAATACATGCAGCATCAATATTTGCCGTGATATGCCAGCAGCATACACTGGACTAATTTGCGCATGAACGCACGCTCGCATGCTTTAAATGCATGCGCGAGCAAACAAACCACACGAACACGCGCATAAAATTAATATAACTGGACATTTTTGTAACTAATAAGTCTTTGGTAATGACTGCTGTATATGTATAGCCGAAACGTCAGAAACAATTTAAAAAATTTAATCAGGATGATCGAAAAAATAAATTAATGGGAAAACACGGATTCAAGTCCTTCAGTGAACTATTAATAATACTATCATGTGAAGAAACCACTCTTTTCTTCATTTAATAGAACATAACAAACAGTATATATAATAAATTGTTCAATTTTAAATAATCATGCCTGTGAAACATTAACAATTATTTAAAACACAAAACAACTAATTCATCCAAAAAAATATTATATGAAATTAAATGCATTTCGTTGTGATATTAACACTAAGTCTACATTTATAGTGCTTTAAAGATTACAACAAGATTTCTAAATTTCATGTACAGTTTATACAAAAGTATATGTCAACCTGGATGTTAACTGACGACATGTAAATTATTTGACGACGAATTGAATTAGTTCTGGGTTAAGTGGCATGCAGTCCCGCTAAGAGCGGTCCAATGACTTTGACTTCGGAAAATAGATTTCCTTTATTTTTTGTGTGTTGAAAGGCATTGGTATACAAGTGTCCAAAATAAATTTATTTTTTGAAAATTCATTTTTATGGCTTCGCTAGACGCCGAAACTCATTTTACCCGTGCAGAGCTATTTTCAAGCAAAATGGAAGGTTGAATTTCGGTAAATTGTAGAGCCGCGCTGAGTCAAAACGCCTGACTATTTCCAAATTTCAACTAGATCAACAAGTTAAGACACAATTCAGTTTACCTGTTCCAAAAAATAAGAGCATTTGAATAAATCGTGAATAAACGACAGCAACTTGACGGCACACCGCTTTTTGCTTCTTGTTCGGTCTTCAAAATTACACTAAAATCGAAGCCTGAGATCTCCAAATGGGGACCTAAAATTACGCTGAAATGTGCTTGGCTGTAATGATTTATACTTATTTTCAGATGATCTGAAGAAAAACTTGCGGGTATCAATTTGTATTTGGCGCGAGTTAAGATTTTCTGGAGCCCATAATCAATGATTTTTGCATAATTTATAGCTAATTACCGTATTTCTTGAGAGGCGCTAAACTAAGTAAACAATTTCTTTCTGACTAACTTATCTCAGATGAAAGAAACTACCACAGCTAGTAAAACCCTTTTTGTAAATATAGTTGTAATGTTCTTTTCCTGACACGCTGAGAGAGCTTTGTTTTTGAATGTTATGCCACATTTATTCTGACCAGATTCATAAATGTCACGTACGAACTTGTACATTTCAAAAATATACCAGAATTCAGAAAGACCGATTATTCTTTCCTTGAATCAGTTGATTGATTTTGTTGATTGATTTAAAAAACTATAAATATAATAGAACAGGCATTCCACGTGTTTCCATTGCTCCTAGGCCTAGAATTTTCAATATGTTCTATTTTTCTGTGGCGATGGCATACAAAATTAAATACGACACAAAAATGTACATTCGAATTTATGACCGACATATCAGAATGTTATTTATGAAGTTTGAATTGAATTTAGTTAACGCGAGATAAATACTAAAATAGGAATTTTGTATGCTGGGTTAGTAAAAGAAAAAGCATAATTTTAATTGTATGTAATTTCGATGAATACTATAAAAAAAATTATACGCATTGTTTATATAAATTAGCTAACATTTTCACATTTATTACCATAGTAGCGACGTTTGTTTTAGCCATGTAACAAAATAAACTATAAGCATTCTGATCAATTATTTAACAAAAATATCAAATCTGTGAATTTTAATTCACAAATTTTTGAAATTTATTCTCAGCTATGGAGCTCACGAATATATGTTTTTCAAAGAAAAATATCGAAATTCGATTATTTATAAAATTGATATTTTTGTTAAATAACTGATCAGAATGCTTATAGTTTATTTTGTTACATGGCTAAAACAAACGTCGCTACTGTCGTAATAAATGTGAAAATGTTAGCTAATTTATAAAATAAATGATATTAAGAACGAGCTGAGTTGTTGTACTTGATATCAGAATAGGGGGCCCCAGGGACAGCTTGGCAAATGCTAATGAGGGCATTTGCATAACCTACCTTATATAAGTTGTTTACGCCAGTAGCTCATTCTCAGTCGTGACATTTAGTCGTTCCCATCACCCCTCACCCACGGGGGTTCTTAGTCGTTCCCATCCCCTCCCCCTCACCCACGCCCATCCGTAGCCTTCCTGGAGGAAGCCCGCAGCCAGCCCCGTCGCTTGGCTCGCTACCCGTCAATTGCCCAATCTCAGTTAAGTACCTTTCCCTGTTCATGATCTGGCACCTCGCGCCAGTCTCGCTGGGTTAACGACCCTGATATCTCACAATCCTTCATCTGTCGCATCGTCCTTCCCGTCCTGTGTTCGCGGCAATCAGCGTCAACAATCGGCCCGAACTCGTGTGTGTGTGTCATAATTCGTTCCTTATACAGTGTCTCTTTCGGAGCGGCTCTTGGTGCCCTTGCTCATCTCCACTTCCTTAGGAAGTGTGATTGTGGTACTAAGAGGATCTCGGCACTCGAGAACAGCTAGGTTAAATGTAAATACGTTACCAAGTCGTCGATACCTAATTTGTGAACGTGACCATGACTAAACGCAAACTCTCGACCCACGGTCATGGCTTCGACCGAACTTCCTCTTCAATGGTACTACAAACCGCCAAGTCACTTATCAGATATTTGCAAGTTACGATCAAAGCGACTGCTTGTTAATTTTTTTTATAGTATTCATCAAAATTACATACAATTAAAATTATGCTTTTTCTTTTACTAATCCAGCATAGAAAATTCCTATTTTAGTATTTATTTCGCGTTAAGTAAATTCAATTCAAACTTCATAAATAACATTCTGATATGTCGGTCATAAATTCGAATGTACATTTTTGTGTCGTATTTTGTTATGCCGTCGCCACAGAAAAATAGAACATATTAATAAAAATTCTATAGGCCTAGGGGGAATGGAAACACGTGGAATGTTGTATTATACTTATAGTTTTTTAAATCAATCAACTAAATCAATCAACTGAATCAAGGAAAGAATAATCGGTCTTTCTGAATTCTGGTATATTTAGTTTGAAATATACAAGTTCGTGACATTTATGTATCTGGTCATACTGAATGAATGTGGCATAACATTCAAAACAAAGCTCCATCAGCGTGTCAGGAAAAGAACATTACGACTATATTTACAAAAAGGCTTTACTAGCTGTGGTAGTTTCTTTCATCTGAGATATGTTAGTCAGAAAGAAATTGTTTACTTTTAGCGCCTCTCAAGAAATATGTTAATTAGCTATAAATTATGCAAAAATCATTGATTATGAGCTCCAGAAAATCTTAACTCACGCCAAATACAGATTGATACCCTCAGGTTTTTCTTCAGATCTTCTGAAAATGAGTATAAATCATTACAGTCAAGCACATTTCAGCGTAACTTTAGGTCCCCATTTGGAGATCTCAGGCTTCGATTTTAGTGTAATTTTGTAGACCGAACAAGAAGCAAAAAGCGGTGTGCCGTCACGTTGCTGTCATTTATTCACGATTTATTCAAATGCTCTTATTTTTTGGAACAGGGAACCTGAATTGTATCTTAACTTGTTGATCTAGTTGAAATTTGGAAATAGTCAGGCGTTTTTTTACCGAAATTCAACCTTCGATTTTGCTTGAAAATAGCTCTGCACGGGTAAAATGAGTTTCGGCGTCTAGCGAAGCCATAAAAAAATTTAAAAAAAATAAATTTATTTTGGACACTTGTATACCAATGTCTTTCAACACACAAAAAATAAAGGAAATCTATTTTCCGAAGTCAAAGTCATCGGACCGTTCTTAGGGGGACTGCCACTTAAAATTCCTTCAATTGTTCGAAAAAGCTGAATTCTTAATAAGTTAGTCTGGTTTTAAGCGACAGTAATTTACTAATTCTTCGCTCCATGTAATCCGCTATCTGGGATGAAAAAATCTTCCCCACGTGCGTCCCTAGAGACGAAATCGCTGCCCAAGAAAGATGCGCAGAACGGTTCAATATCTATTATGCTCGGGATTTCTTGGCCTCCAAAAGAATAGTATCCCAAAACAAATCACATAGATATAGTTTATTAGTTTTTCTCAGTAGTTTTAATACACGCCCTGTCTTCGACCCAAAAATATAAAGTGTCTAAAAATATGTAAACAAACGCCACACCATCGCACGATGTGACGTAGTAATCTATCACTTCCGGTTTCCCATTTCCGGACACACTCCCCCCTTGTATGTTCCTCTAAGGAGATATATGTTAACCTATAGTCCTTATGACGTTCGAACAAACAAGAATGTTACTTAAATTTAGCAGTGTAACGTCCTTATTCTAACTTTAGAGCTTTTGCAAGTCAATCATTGTCCTCTTCGTTAAGATTGTTTTGAATTCGTAACCTTGCTGCTGCAGCTGCATCTCTTCCAGGTCTTGGCATGAACTCTGAAGCTGTAGGGTTAAGTTCTACAGGCATTACACATACATGTATTACCACTGGTTCTGGTTCTCGGTAAGTTGCCGGGCGGTGGTGACTGGAATGACTTGGTGCGGAATCTCTCGCATCCCCAACACTTCCCTCGTACTTTCTTCACAAGGCGTCGAAGTCGTAGGACCCAGTACAGTTCCCTAATTCTCGCCATGGTGAGTCCAACTCCCCCATGCAATGTCGCGAGATGTGCTTGATGAAGCAACTTGCTTGTGAAAGGATGATCGTCTGGCAAGTAAATAGGATATTCACCTTCGAGGCGTCCTCGACATTCTAAGATTTGTTGCTGGTTAATCTGCAGGTTTAACTGGAGTTTGTCTTTCTCGAATTTAGCTGTGGTCTGTGCATCACGCTGAACTCGTTTGATCCACCAGGTCTTGTGGTTCTCTATTTCGGTTGTTGTAAGTGGACCCGATTCTCTGGTTGCCACCGTTGCCTTGCAGTTGTGAATGAATCGTTGTACCCACGCCCCGATTCGCAAGACCTTTCAAAGTTCATGTTTAGATAACAGTTCGTCGAAGGTGTCCTGCACGTTTACGGCCGCCGCAAAGATATCTTTAGTGATCTTGGCTTCAGCATTGCTACTGGCACTAGATATGAGTGTTATGTTCGGTGGCCACTTATCTGGGTCTGCCAGCCACTGAGGTCCATACCTCCAAAGTGGGGCGTTCACCACGCTCCCTCCACGGCTTCCCAAGTCAGCGGGATTCTCTGCGGTAGGTACATGGTGCCACGTGATACTTGAGTGTTGACGGATCTTGTTCACTCGGTTGACAACAAACTGCTTGTACTCGCCCGTACCAAGGATCCAGAACAACGCGACTGTACTGTCCAGCCAACAATGGAAGTCTGCTGTAATGATGGGTTGAATTGCTTGTTGAACATTGGTGATCAAGTTAGCGGCCATGTGGCCGGCTACCAGTTCTAATCTCGGGATTGTTAGTCGCGTTTGGCTAAACGTGACTTGGCTGTCACAATATTCTGTGCTACTCCATCGTCTTGCTTCACCACGGCAAAAACCACTGCGCTAACGCCTTTCCCACTTGCATCACCAAAAGCGTGTAATATCAGTTCTTGAATCGGTTGTTGATGTGGTGCAATTGATCTCGGTATGGTTACGGACGCTGGCAAGTTGTTGTACCACTTGTTCCACAGTTTTTGCGATTGTTCAGGTAGTTCAGTGTCCCATGCAAGTTTCTCATCCCTAAAGTCGCGGAAAATCAGCTTCCTATATAATGTTGTTGGGGAAACTAAACCGAGGGGGTCATACACTATGGCTAGGGTAGACAAGACTTCTCGTTTAGTCGGCTCCGTCTCCACCTTCGGAAATTCAATTCTCAGGGTGTCATTTTCTTTGTCCCAGGGAAGGCCCAGTAACTTAGTTTCTGATGATGTAGTTCCCAGCTGCTGTTTGGCATATGATAGTTCATCATTCCCGTCTTTCGCGTCGTTGTCCAACTCTAGCTCGCTTTCATTGCTGTGCCACTTGTGCAGGTCGAACTTAGCATCTTGGAAGATCTCCTTTGCCTTCGACTTCTTGGTTTGGGCTTCTTGTACCGTTGCTCCCCCCGATAGTAAGTCATCAACATATAGACTTTTACGTATTTCCTCTACGAACTCTGGGTACCGATCTTCCCATAATGTGAGATGTTGATTGATGACCCCACCCAACAGGAATGGAGAGGAGGTCAACCCAAATTCGGACCTGTAGAAATGCTTTCTGTAGATCCTCAGTAATCGCAACTGGGTGAAATCGGTTTCTCACAAGTACTGTCCATAGCAATTAAGTTCTGTAGAGCTGGACCGGGGTGTAGACAGTCATTGAGTGATGGCTGGTCTCCTCGTTCTTTCCCCGAAGCGTCATAAACTAATATCAACTTCGAACTTTCCGCTTGTTGTCTGATTACAGCTTTATGTGGTAGGTAAAATTCTTTACCAACAACTACTGCTGGGGCTATCTCAACCACTCCCTGTTCGATCTGTTCTTGAATTACATTGTCATAAGCTGTATAATTGTTGTCCCGTTCTAACTTCTTCACCAGCTGCTGAAGCCTTCGGATACTTCCGGTCGTGTTCGTAGGTAGCTCTGGGTGGTTGCCATTCCAGGGGAGCACGGTTTCATACCACCACTCCGGACTACGCGTCAGCTGCTCCTTGAATTCTTGGTACACTTCGAGTCGATCTCCCGCAGGTGAATGAGCCAAACCGAGCACACCAAGACCACAAAGCTGGTCGAAGTCGACACTCGTGGAGCTGGTAAGCAATAGTGGAGCAGTATCTACTTCTCTACCTGGTGACATAATCGTCCAACCGAGCAGGGTCTTTTCTGCGATTGGTTGACCGGGTGATCCGATTCTTGGTGCAGTCTTCGTTTTAATTGCAGTGTATTCACTGGCGCCAAGCACAACATGAACAGGTAGATGTGGGTTGACATCAACGTCGTTGATCTGTACTCCATTAAGTTGAGAGTGATTTTTCAACAATGTCTCATAATTTGGGTTATCCAAATGCATTAACTGTGGTTTGTCCACCTTGGTTACATTGACATCCATGGTAAAATCACCGTCTATTGACTTGACCTTAACGTTATAAATTTCCACTTTCGTTGTAGTCGAACCAAGCATCATCTCTATGCGTTTGGTCTTAGTTTCCGTAGGCTGTTTGTGAAATGCATTGATTAGTCTGGCCGAGGCATACGAGCTCCCAACCCCAGTATCAAGTAAAGCTCTCGTCTTGATACCATCGATCTCTAGCAAAACGACTGGATATATCACCTCGCTTTCGTCGGTTTGATGCGCTGACTTTAACATCTCTAATTTTGCTTCAGGGTCGCAGATCGACGTATGGTGTCTTTTACCGCAGTTCCGACACGTAGTGGTACTTCGACATTCAGCAGCACGATGTGACACCCCCCCCCCAGCAGAATTATAGCATAGTTTCTTTTGTGCAAGTATCTTCTTTCGGTCCACAGGTGTGCTAACGACTGAACAAGTTATCGACTTATGCTCTATCGAATCACAGTAAACACATGCCCCCTACTGCGTGTTGAATGCTTTGGCATATCTATCTCTTCGTTTATCTTCTGATTGGTTGTGTTCGACTGGGTTTCTTTCAGTCCAATCTCGTAAAGCTTCGCATAGTTGAACAAACGTCCAGTCCTTCCATTTCGGGTCGGTTCGTACCAGATCTCCGCGTATGCTCGGAAGTTTGTTAATTGTCATCCTGACGTATCCGTTTACGTCGCTCGGCTTATTCAGTGTTTCGAGCGATTATACATTATATCGAAGTTTCTCAAAAATGAATGAATTTTTCCTGGTTTGAGATCCATTGATTGTTGGTAAAGAAACTATTTCTTCGACGTAAGAGTTGACAATCTCACTTTCGTTGGCGTATTTTTCGACTAGAATTTCTTTTGCTTTAGCATATCCCTTGTCCGTAAATGGTAGCCCGTCGATGTTTCGTTTTACTTTTGGGTCCAAGTGTTCTTTAAGATATGAGAACTTCGTTATTGGACTTATGTTTTGGCTGTCGATAATCGCGATAAATTGGTTCCAAAACCTTAACCAGTCGCTAAATTGCCCATTAAATTTGGTTATCTGTAGCTTCGGCAATTTGGCTTGTACTCCGTCTTTTGGCACACTATTTTGCGATTCTTCGAATAGTTTTTGATATTGAAGTTTTTTATCTAAAAGCTTGGCTTCTTGTGCAATCTGCTCGTCTCTTTCGTGTATCTCGTGTTGTTGTTGTAATTCTACTTGAGCCCGTTAGAATTCAAGTTGTGCATCTCTCTTTTTAACGTCCTCGGCTTGTTTAAACTCGTAGTTTATCTCTCGAATCTGGTTTGTTATTTTTCGCACCTGTTCGTCTGCAAATTCAATTTGTTGTTCGATTTCGTCGCTCCATTCGCTAACAATTTACACGGTTGCCGCTGATTTAAACTTCTGTTCTTCGATCTTTAATAACGTCGCTTACGGCCTTTATCATAGCTTTGATCGATGAACATAGTCTTTCCGAGACTTCGATGTCTGCTTTGGCGATGGTAGAATCTGTCCTTTTAGCTGTAAAGTTTAAGAGCTTCAATTTTCTTTGTAGTTTAGCGATTTGCTCCTCCATATTTAGTCTTGTTTTCGCTTGTTGAATTCACAATCCTGCTGTGGGTCGCCACGTGCTCGGGATTTCTTGGCCTCCGAAAGAATAGTATCCCAAAACAAATTACATAGATATAGTTTATTAGTTTTTTCTCAGTAGTTTTAGTACACGCCCTGTCTTCGACCCAAAAATATAAAGTGTCTAAAAATATGTAAACAAAGGCCACACCATCGCACGATGTGACGTAGTAATCTATCACTTCCGGTTTCCCATTTCCGGACAATTATGCCAAATGCCAGTTAAGCGAATGCAACATGTAGATGTTGTCCAAGCCCTAGGACTTATTTACACTTAATTTTTCAGGTATGCGCGAATGGGTTAGTGAAATTTCAGTCACGCAATTACGAAGTAAATCCTCGCAATTTTGGTACCTATGGTGGGAGTGGTGGTTCTGCTTGTCTTGCACCATACTGGTCATTTGTTAACTTAGATTATTTCGAAAGTGGAGAATCAAAGGTGTTTTTTCGTAAATACGAAGATTCAAATAACGACTTTCGTAGCGTGTTTTCAGAGGCTAGGGAGTATGGCAAAACAATACTAAGGAAATCGGACTACAATCCGCTTTGGGTAACGGTCATAACCTGGGTGGATCTCCGACCAAAACAACCTGGGGATGTTACTTATGGTGGCGTAAGTAAACTGAATTATTCATTAAACCCTTTTTCGTTTGGACACAATTATATCAGGACGAAATCGTCCTAGTTTAAGGCTTTTAGCGAACGACTTTGGAGATCCGTATCTCTGATACCGTGCATGCTATGTAGATGACAATACCACCATTCGATTCAGTGAAACAATATCTCCTAATTCCTATCGATAGTTTTGGGAAAATGTCAACATTATAGCCATTTACGACCTTTTGGCCTGGATCACATATACCTGCTGTATGTCGGCGGGCTATTGTCGCTAGCAGTTCAACCAAATAATTAATAAAAGAATGTATGCATCAACCGCTGTAAACAATGATAGCGCAGGCATACCGCAGGCCAGTGTTGTAACGAGTCACCTACAGGTCGAGTCACGAGTCGAGTCGAGTCACTCAAAGGTCGAGTCACGAGTCGAGTTGAGTCATTTCAGTTTTTGATCGAGTCGAGTCGAGTCAGTGGCTTCACTCGAGTCGAGTCGAGTCGAGTCAGCGGCTTCACTCGAGTCAAGTCGAGTCACTGATTTAAGTCGAGTCGAGTCAATTTCTAGACTTTACTTGAGCTACCCTAGCTTGCTGTCGGAAATTAGTAATCAAATTTGGGTTTTAAACTAATTACTTTAGTCATTTAAATTAATAACAGTATCTGGGCAGCTATAGGCTGTGCCAATATCACAGTTCCAGTCAACCACGTGAGATGTCTCATCATACCTGCTGATCGAGTGTACGTACATACAACTAGCAAAACTTAATTGCAACTGGAGTCAGAATTAACAAAGAATAGACTTTAATTAACAACGCTTTGTAAGTTGATTTGAAATTATATAGGCCTTCATAAATGCCAAAAATGAAAATAGCCTGTCAGAATTAGTATAAGTACAAAACATTTTGAGACTTAATTTTAAAAAACTGTGGCACTAGCGTTGTCTCTAAAAACAGAAATGTTATATAGGTATGCCCGTCAGGAATATATTCTATGCAAATCCCATATATTTTCTGATAAAGTTTCAAAGTTCTCATTGTTTACAGGACTCATTGTTCTTCCCAAGCAATACAATGACAATAATTGTGATGAATTTACTCTGTACAAGTTGTAGATGAGTTGACTCGAGTCATTTACGGCAAAATCAGCAAGTCGAGTCCGAGTCGAGTCATTTGGGGCTGTTGACTCGAGTCGAGTCGAGTCATTTTACGTATTGGACTCGAGTCGAGTCGAGTCGTTGAAAATAGCGACTCGAGTTGACTCGAGTCAGAGTCAATGACTCGACTCGTTACAACACTGCCGCAGGCATATATGAACCAGGCTTTAGAGGTCAAGCAATATTATATTTCAATAGATTACACAATTTTCCTTACAACGGCCCCTTCGGCATATCTTTTTCGTAATAGTCTTGCTCAAATCACAATCCAAGACACTATGTAGAGTGTTATATTCAACCTTGTATCTACAGTCTACAGATTTGCATCTTTTATTTCGGTATTTCAGAATATTTAAATTTTAGCGGGAGGCTCAACCGGAAGTACAACTCGAATCATCGAAACGATGCGATGTAACCGATGTTTACATCCTAGCGGTCGGGAAACGTCGGAAATAAGTGCTGATGTGTTTATTTAGCATGTACGCCCCTCCCCCCATCCTCCGCAAACTCATTTTTGTGGGTAATTTTAGTCATACCTTCACCGTCACCCCATGAGTCGCGACCGCTGGTTTCAATTCGAACGTTCCGGTGGTTTTATGTCATTCCTATATACATGTCTCATCTCACTCACGTCGGCTTTATGATTCAATTTTTAGAAAAATACATTCCAACTTTTTCTGGCTAATGGTGTTAACAATGACGCGATTGCTGTCTATTGTTACAAAGACATTGATTGGTCAATTGGTGTGATAAGGTAATTCTGACAAAACCTTTGCCTTAATAATAGGCCGTTACCACAACATGCCACGCCTCACTAGGATTTAATTCTGGGGGGAGAAGGAAATTTAAAGAAAATGAGCAGTTTGATAAGTACGACCAGTCGAAGAGTCAATGGCCGTTTTTATACTAGAGACGCATTATGCGTCCAGACAAAGGTGGGCAAGCAAGCCATTTATTGTTCGTCCGATTATGCGCCCTCAGTATAAAGACGGGCACAAGACGCATTATCCGTCTAAACTAACTATGTTCGCTTATTCGTCTTAATTAAGAGCCGCTCAACCGATGATAGTTCGTCTAGATGCATAATGCGTCTGTGCATATAAAGACGGCACACAGACCAATAATCCAACAAAGCGAGACAGTGGTACATAAAGCAACTATTTGTTTAAAATTCAACATGGCAGCAAAGGAAAATAATGTTTCGGCTGCTTCTTCAGCTGTTCCAACATCAAAATAGCAGCGACAGTCTCGTCAATGGACAGAAAGTCGACAGAACTCAAATACTTTGCCCTTGTGCTTGTGGAGGAAAAGACCGAGTTTGCATACAGATTTGATACGATCACCCTCAAGAAAACGGCTAATTGAAAACTGTATTCTGAAAACGAAAACATTTAAAAGACATCTTGGAGATATTATTGAGTAAAATTTATTTTAGGTTATGTTTAATTTGCACTATATAATTTTGCACTAATCACTTTTATACTGGTCTTTGTCGTGCTTATTTACATGTCGTCTTTGTGTATATTTTTGTCACTCTGAATAAGTCCATTTAGTATAATTACATAGGTGATTATTGAAAATTCTCCACGCTGATTGGTTGCCGTTGAGGTGATTATTACGCGATAATCACCTAAGCGATTTTCAAAATGGCGGCCGAAGCCTTTTTGTCAATTAAATGACGAAGAAATGTGTATTTTCTTATTTTTTTTCCAAATAATCACCTATGAAATTATACTAAAACAAGTATTCACCTCAGGCTCGGTAATTATCGTGAATAAAAACCTCGACTTCGTCTCGGTTTTTATTCACCGATAATCACCTCGCCTTCGGCGAATAATTGTTAAATAATAAACAGAACATTAAACGATTGCGAGAAGATATGGATTTATGTTCTCGTGTGAAAAACAATATTTTTGTTTTTGCCACTCAAACATAAAATCCATATCTCGTCGAAACCGTCTAATATCCTATATTTATATGCGTCCAGACGCATAATGCGTTTCTAGTATAAAATCGGCCAATGACTTGAAAAATTAAAGTAAGAAACTGTATTTAAAAATAGGCCTACTTTTGGTCTGATTTATAGAAGAATTTTTTTATACATTTATTGCTTGTGGATACTAAATGGTTGTTTGTTAGAGGAAACAATTAACCAGTTTCTTCCCCCAAACTGTATTAAAAATTGTTGTTTGTTTAGAGGAAACAATTAACAAGTTTCGCCTCCCAAAAAGATCTGGGTACTAGATCTCACTATAGATTAGCCAAATGGTCCATCATCTCATTAATGGGTATATGTTACAGTCAGGAACTCATTATTCACAATACTATAGTGGCATCCATTAACTCATTAACGTAGTTTTGCCCATCAACCAATTCTTAAAGGAAGGAGGGCTATTCCACTTCCGCAGTCTCCCACAGGCCTTTTCTATTTCGAAACCTGCAATGCGCCATTAAACAATATCTACCAACGGCTACTACAACTTAATCAACATTAACAACAATTCTAGTAGAAATATATGCATGCATCAACCCCTCGGCGATATTTTCCTAAACATTTTTTTAACATGTACTAATTCTAAATTACGCCATTAATACGCAGGCTTGCGTCGCTTGCGTCATGTTAGTCATGGCCTCCTTTTCATGCTCTATGCTTGAAATAGAGCCAGCTACTGAAGTCAATAAAAAATATACAATGATTTGGTGCACGAAAATAACAACCAATCAAAACGGCGATTGTTAATTAGATTATCAAAGCTAATATAAAATATGACAATAACGGCTAAATTTCCGCCAATATCTCGAAAGAAATATTCCAATGGCCTGCAGGAATTACACACTATATAAATTATAATTAGCAATTATTCGTCGAAGGCGAAGTGATTACCGTTGAATATTCACCGAGACGAAGTCGAGGCGAATAATTGTTTTAGTATAAATTTTTAATGAAATAAACAAAATCAGTTCAATTAAAATTCAGAAATAAAAGTATTTTCGGCCGGTTCACGGTCACTGTTTTAGTGTTGCAGTGTTTCTTGTACGCACAAACAGGTGGGAAATTTGTCTGAGCATGCGCGAGTAAAATGAACCACGCAATGGCGTGGAATACACGCAACGCGTGTTTACAGAAAGGCACAATCGTGTAAATATTGCCAAATGTTTGTACAAAATAAATTACTGTTTTATGTTGAAAGAGTAGACATGATCTAAATTAATCATACAGAATTTTTTAGTGACGTTCTATTTCAGTACCCTGCCATTGTCTCTGGTGGGCTGTCCGTGTGCATTCGATCTGAAACAGTTGCTACTTTGCTGTCGAAGAATTTCGAATGTTTACATGAAAATAGAAGCAAGTCATGCATTTTACAACCTCTTAAACTGTATGAGCCCTTATTTTTACGCTTATACCTAAGATATCAAATAAAAGTACATGAAACAGAGAACATTTGTAGAACGTTTTATCGTGAGGCAACGGCCAGTTTTTAAAATATCTTTATTTCTGTTCCGGTCATCACCAAAATTACACAAAAGCCGGGCATGAATATACAACAAATTTTGAATCAAATCAAGCGCAAAAATAGTTAACGTGTTACCAAAATATGCTCATGAAATCGAAATTAATAGCTAAATTTTCAAACTAGACCCTTCTCGAAGCGGTTTTCATGAAGGAAGTTCACATTTCGGCCTTTGATTCTTGGCAAAAATTTGACCACAACACGTGCGAAGCAACTGGGTCTCAAAGACTGAACTAAAACATTGTGAGCCCCTATTTTCCTGACGATATGTTTGATACCTACAAACGCCGAAAAGTTTTTTCTTTTCATTTAGCTATATTTGAAATTGAGGCCACGGGCTATTTTTGAGAAACTACAGTTCAAAGTCAAGCTATTTTTACATATTTTCAAAATTTGTCAAATTTCGAGAGCTTGTATTTTGAACTTAGACAGCTGAAATTACATTATGAAACATAGGATGGAAAATTTGAGGCATAAAAAGTTAATTTCAACTTACATTTCATTCTCAAATCACGTCTTTCTTCGTTTATTACGGTTTTAAACAAGCCATAGATCGACGTATACGGTATTTACTCCTATGTTCACGTCGCCATATTAACTTCTTCCAATCACTCGATTACAAAACAATCATCCCAAAACAAAGAATTCATGATCGACTTTTAAAAGAATAACCAATAATTTGTAAATCGTTGAATGGAAAGCAAAAAATCGTTAGCTAAAACAGCTTCTTGCTAACTTTCTGCTTTGTTTTGAATGTAAATGCAATGAGCTTTGTTTCTGCCCGCAATTTTTTGGTCAGCGACGACAAATTTCCCACCTGTTGTACGCACACGCTTTCAAAATGGCTTCTTGTGTGACGTTATTGCTTTATTACACTGTAGTAGTTCTTCTCGATTTCTGCTTAGAATATAAACACAATGACGGAATGACTTTTGCCAGACTTAGAATTAAAAAAATAGTTTCTGTTTAGCATTAATTTTTCAGGAAATGGCTGAGAAATTTGGTAAAATGAAATGTAAAACTATACAGGGTGTATCGAAAGAAAATGCACAGATTTGAAATTTGCTCTTAAATTCGCAAAACAGCTATTAGTATCCAGTTTTTTATGTATATAGCTTCTTTGGGTACTTATAATGTAGAAAAATGGAAAAAATTTCTCGAACTCAAATTTTGTGAACCAGGGGTGTGTGTCTTTTCCAACGAATTAAAAATGGCTTGCGCACGAAGTTTAAAAGCTTTAATCATATTTTAAGTTAACAGATGGGAAGTTTGTTTGGTGTTTAATTACTGTACAAAATTTCACACAATTTGCTTCAGTTTACGCCCTTTAACCATTCACGCAAACTTACATTTTTTCTTAAAAAATCACCATTTGCATGCTAATCAATGCCTTTGCCTAATTTGCATATGTCAGCAATATGCAAATTAGGTAAAGGCATAATTATTAAGCATGCGAAAGGCTAATTTTTTAGAGAAAAATAAATAGTTAAAGGCTTAAACTAAAGCAAATTGTCTGAAATTTAGTACAGCAATTAAAAACCCAACAAATGTTCCTTCTATCAACTCAAAATATGATTAAAGCTTTTAAATTTCGTGCGCAAGCCATTTTTAGTTTGTTGGAAAAGACAACCCCCTCCCCCCCCCAGGTTTACAAAAATTTGAGTTCGAGAAATTTTTTCCATTTTCCTACATTATAAGTACCCAAAGAAGCTATATACATCAAAAACTGGATACTAACAGCTGTTTTGCGAATTTAAGAGCAATTTCAAATCTGTGCAGTTTTTTTATACACCCTGTATATTGTTCGAAATAAACTTTTAATACAATTTTCACTTTACAATTTTCGAAAACACAATACAGTGGCAAGACACCATACAGTACAATGAAAACATGATATATCAAAATAAATGGTATATATACAAATGTAGATATCTATAGGATACAAAACACAATGGATACAAAACAAAATATCACGGCAAGGTAAGACCCACCAGTCGGGATAGTTTTGTATTTGTTTGAAGTGAATGTTTCTGAGTTTAAAAAAGTTTTAAATTGTCCGTGAATACTGGTTTGATACAGTAAAATAATAAAGGAATCCTAGCTTTGAAGTTAAATACAATATTTAAATGTGCTTCTTTGGTTTTCTGCATGGGGACGATTTTTTCAATATTTTGTCGATTTTAAAACCAAATTTGCCGAATCATTATTCTTTTTGAAAAGTATTATATATTGTCTGCTAGTAAATAACGCGTCGGATTTACTAGTCAACTAGCCAATCAGAACGCACGAAAGCTCATTTGATATGCAAAATTTATCCTAATAACGGTTATCGATATGTTTATAGACAGCAAATTAAAGACAGTAATTAATGTGGCCAAAAGCACAAATACCAGTCCGACATATCATATTATATAAACAACAACTTAATATTAATTTTGCGTACGATTCGTACGCATAAATCCACTTTTTATTGACTTTAGTAGCAGGTTCAATTTCAAGCATTGAGCCATGCGGACACGCATGCTATGTTAGCCATGGCAACACAATGCATGTTTTTAATTTTTTGTGGAAAAAGTTCAAAAAAATATTATTTTAGTTTAATTTAATTACTCTTTTAACAACCTTCGAACTATCAATTTCTAAAATATGTAAAGTATAGGTATATGCAACATTGAACGCTTCACGAAATGTTCATTTATTATAAATTAACTTTATATTATATATGCTGATTCAATTGTTTCTGCAGATTAACTATTTAACTTAGTTTTTTATTAGTTGCAACGAAAGTCAGTTCAATCATACAGTTCGCTTTTTGAAATAATTTAATTTTTTTAAATCCATAGCTTTTACAATATGAAATATGGCAATTTAGGAGGCAATTATATATTGGAAAACTCGGGAACAACGTGCATGTTTGCGAATAAAAAGACTAAACAAACTTGCTTTATATTTCATCATTTCCCATCGTATATCTCTTCTTGTTATTTCTTTAATTAAATTAAAATTTAAAAATCGTTTTGTCGTTTATTGTATGAAATGATAAAATCTTACCAGTTGGCTCATTCCGCTCGTGGCAATCTGATATCAGTGAGACGACCACCAACCACCGCAATTTTGCAGCCTCTGCATGCAAGCTAGTATAGGCTTTCTTTTCCCGGTTGTATATAGCCGTGCCGAATTAGTATCCTCGACCAGGGCTAACGCCCGGAACGGCGCTGCGCGCCGTTTGCTCTGGGACAAATACAAAATGTACCGTCAACAATTACAATAATTGTATAATTTCACAATAAGTTACAACCTACAAAATCAGACAATTATAATACTGCAGATGCTGTTTAAGTAGAAGAAATTCGAGAGATAAATTATCCAAAATTATACGGAATCTAACCCATGATCACTTCTTGCGTTTTCTAGAAACCAATACCCAAATTACGCCGGATCCAGTGACTTACCAGTTGTAGGTTTTAATTCTGGACAACCAGGTGATACTTATCCGTATGACAATTTCGAAAAGTAAGTTTTTTTAATATCTCTTTATAACGGGGTCTTGACGGGTAAAATGGGAGTTCTATCATTTTCAACCTTTGTCCCCCTCCCCCCTTATACAATGTTGGTATTTAGGTGACATCTGTTGCAAATCCACTTTACCTGAACCAACATTGTTTGGGAGAGGGGGGGGCGGTAATTTAAGGACATTTATGCTCACATTTTCATCAAATGTTTTCAAATTTGAGTGTATATTTCGAAAAGTCTACTGATTGTTCACGACTACCTTCTCAAAGCCACCTACTATACATTTCAAGGTGTCTATCTGACAGCTTTTTCACGAGTATGCCATGCAGGGAACCATTGCCTAACTCTCCATGACGGTTTTCCGCCTTTAACTTCACTACTGTCACAGGAACTAAATCAGCAAAGCGTTCAAAATCCTTTGTGTCCCTCGGTTTAATTTGAGGCAAACTTTCTAACTGATCTAAATATGCATGTAATTGCCGTCTCTGTGCACCGAATTTTGTTTTTAAAATACTTTTCGCTTCTTCATATTCAAGACTAGACACGCCCAGTCCCCTGATAGCTACCAAGGCTTCACCGGACAGGCTCTTACCGGTTCTTTAGAACAATCAATCAACCAAGCAGATGGATCTAGTATGATCTGGAAGGGGGGGTTGCTCTGCCTGCTCTGGTGCCGAGTTGTGTCAGTCATGTGTGCCGCTCGCCCATCAACTTGCTTCACTAATGCTTGACTACTGTATTTGAATTGTAATTGTTGTTCACAGTTCACTTATTATGAAGTTATTACTCAAATTACTGTATCTCATTTTGTCTCTAATAATTTTTTGCTTTATCATGAAAAATAGCACCACCCCTCCCCCCTCCCCCCAGTAAATCCATCCCTGAGTCCAAGCTCGCAAACAATAACCAGAAATCTTCAAATTTAGCTTTGTCCTCGTCAAAACTGGGCACTTTTAGTGGTTTTAAACGTGAATAATTTCTCTCAAACGAAAGTGAAGGAATCTCTTCCGTACTCTCTTCTTTAATATTTACTTGGTTGTTTTCGATATTATCATATTTATTGCTTGAAGAAGTATTAACTTCCGGGGAAATATTAACTTTAGGCGGCATGTTATTATCAGGCGAATTGTTTACATATTCGGCAAAGACGACTCATAATTCGTGTTAGACTGCGAACTTTTCGCTTTATATTTAGCTTTAAGATCAGATAACTTTGTCAATTCTCTATTGCCTTCTGCTTCGATATCGACCGATTCTTTACTAGATTCTGTTTTTCAAGCTGACCGACAGTTATATAATACCATGTTATTTCAATTTCGTCTATAACTTCGTGCGTTTCTTCTAAATTTTGCCATAGACTCATAGTTGCTCTACATTCGATTCAAGCTCAGTTACTTCGACCGAATCAGTAATATGTAGCTTTTCGATCTGATGTTTAAGCCTTGTAAGTTTGGCTTTATAGGGCTTTAACTTTTTAAAAGAACGATTTCCTCACCTTGCACAGAACTTTCAATCTGTAGCGTTGTCGTTGCATGGTGTATATTAGAGACTTTACGATTTTAGGACGGCAACCGCGAAGGCGACGGCCAAATCAAACTCCTTCAAATAAATGGTAATCAATAGTTCGTCGTATATTATCAATCGTATTAATTTAATACAGTCTTAGAAGTTGAAGACATGGGTTTTATGGTTGGGAAGAGTTCTGCCAAACCCAGTTTGAAGTTGCACTTGTTGTGGCTTGGAATGCAGCCGTTGTATCAACACGCGAATATATGTGATTTGGAGTTGTAAACAGAGCGAGGACAATGTCTAAATTATTCATTTAGTGTAATTACTCAATTCTTTTCAATGATCTATTGTATTGGTAGCCGTTGCCGTCGCGTTGCCGTCCTAAAATCGCAAGGTCTCTATTTTCCAGCGATGCTTCGCTGTTTTGTCCGTTTACGATTTCACTATTTTCTCCGGTTGTTTCGGTTGCCATATCATATATCGACCGCGTTCGAATAACGGTACACTATACACGTCCTGGCAGGATCGCCAAAAACACAGCTATAAAAAACTCAACTCTTTATTTTACAATATCCGTGCTTGAATCCGAAAAACACTGTCTTATCTACGCCACTAATTTATGCTAAAAATCTGTAACGTTTGCCTAATTTATGCAAACTGTTTATTTGTTCCCCTAATAATTAATAACAAATTAAATGTCAATATATACATATACAGTCACTTCTCCACAGTATTTATTGCTGTACTACGAATTGCTGCAGCCTGAGACGAAACATTTAACTCGCCCAGGCATTACAGCTTTGTGGCGACCATGGTCTGAAAAATGAAGAAAAAAACTTTTATTTTATGCGCTAGGGTTATATTATTTTCAAATTACAATAAAACAATGGTATATGATCGATAACCCGAAGATTAAATAGAATTACTGTAATTGCCATAACAAATGTGCAGTTTAGGTTGAAAGGCCGTGCTTAGAAAATACAAACCATTAATCTTACCTCGAGTCGTCGACGAAGCGACTTCGCACTTTCAATTAATGCCAGTTATCTTCGAAACGTATGAAAATTATCAGCTAAAATTTGTACTCAATAAAGTTCAACTGATAATTTTTGTACTAAGCCAAAATATAGGATATTCCGTGAAATAAACAGCGAAAATTCAACTCAAATGTAATAGCTTTCCTCGATGCCAAATCTAATTTTGTAACTTTTGTCTTGTTGTAGTACTTTGGCCCCGCGCGGTTTAGTACCCCAATAAGGTCTGGTTACGTAGTGTGAGAAAGGGTAATTTAGCTTGTATCGTGATATATTTTTAGAGTTTGTTATTGTCAATTTGTAAACGTTTATACTGCTCAGCCGTTACAATTTTGAAACATATATTCGCTCATAGCTAGTCATATTATGTTTGATTTTGAAATTTGTTGTAGTGTTTGAACCTAAGATGGTATTGTCTTCCATTTAATATAACTATTTTTGAGTTGCCGTTCATTATTACAGTGCGTCTATAGTAAGTGGAGCCACTTAGAGAACACTAGCTAATCAATCACATTGCGAAATAAAAATAGAAAAAATCAACAAACGGCGCATTTAATAGCCAATCGGCATTATGCCAAAAAAAAAATTTTAACAAATAAACGAATGTCAAACGACAAAAATAGCGAAGCGAACTCCATGCTTTCTTTCGATTGGACGAGCTGTAGATTTCAACAAAGAACTGTCTACGCTAGTCACAGAGTCATACGATGTGCATTGGTCCCCCCAGTGCTGTCCTTCACAATACATATAGACCGGGCCCTTGCCTTTACCATTCGTATAAACTCTCCCTCCTTTTGGGTATACCAGTTTCTCTCCCTCTTTCGTGGAGTTTCATGCTCCTTAGTTGGTACTTCTTCTGTTTTGTTACGTTTTAACCATCTCTGTAATGCTGATAACAGTTGTTTCATGTTCCAGTCTTCCCAATCATCATAAATACGCACTAAATCAGGCTTATCCTGGGGGAGTTTATTTAAATTAAGGTAGATACCACCAACCCCTTTAACATAGCTTCTTCATCCAACGTTTGCAGTGCGTCATAGCTTTTGCAAAGGCTTTCATAAAATTCACATACCTTATCGTATTTTCTTCCCTTCGCCGTCTGCAACTAATAATTTCCTCCATATGAGCTGCAATTACTAATTTGTTATGACCATATTCCATTTTCATCATTTCCCACGCTGTTTTATAACCTTCTGATCCTGGTTTCAAGTTCGAAAGTCTACCTCTCACCTTCGGATTCACGAGTTCTAACAGATACCCAAATTTCTATGCATCCTAAATGGACTTGCTGTCAACAACAAAGGGTGATATTTTCAACTTAGTGGTCTCGATGTAATTGCTTTAGATTCTTTCTCCATCTGAATTTTCTTCTCTGCCAGCATCAACTCCGCTCTCATTCTTTCTTCTAACATTTCTTTCTCTTGTTGTTGGATCTGCCTCTCAATGGCTCTTCCTTCTCAATCTTTCTGATCGCCACTTCTTCCTCAACTCTCAAGTGTTCATGTCTCTGTGACTCTGTCTATCGCCTAGTACCCTACACAACCTCGCACGTTTCTCACATAGTGGTGCATACTCTACCTTCAACTCTCTCTCCACTGTCTAATAAATCTTTGTGTTGAATTTCCCAGTTAAATTTTTAATTCTTGTAAATGCGACACCAGGTTGTTCATATTATCTTGAATCTGCTGTGTTCGCTTGCATACTTGTTTAATTTCATTAAAATCCTCACTTTCCAATAATTCGACGACGTCCTCGAGATAAAACTGCAGCTTTTCAATCTCTTTTCTAATCTTGTTCTGCTGATCTTTCTACTCTTTTTCTGCTGATCTTTCTACTCTTGAGTGATTCTACCGTATTATTCTCCTCAATTTCTTCTTGCTCAAGTTCGTCCGCCATCATAGATTTTGTAAAATTTATCGTCTTCATTCGCAAATATTTCGTTGTTCAATCCTGGTCACCGCATCAAAATGTGCCGAACTTGTGTATTTATCTCGTATTTATGAAATCTTTATATTATCTCGTATTTATGAAATCTGCTGTGTTGGTGTAATGTACTCAGGTGAATAAGATGTTTGTGTGATGTTACTCTGTCTGAGTGTATATCCACACCGGGCAGGCTTGAGAAATATGCCTGGCCACGGCGGGATTCGAACCTACGACTTTTGGAATACTAGCCCAATGCTCTTCCAACTGAGCTATGCGGTCAGGACGGTTCGAGTAAGCGATATTTCGGAACTGAGTCTAGTTCCTTCGATATCAGTGTTATCTAATATTTATGAAATCTGCTGTGTTGGTGTAATGTACTCAGGTGAATAAGATGTTTGTGTGATGTTACTCTGAGTGTATATCCACACCGGACAGGCTTGAAAAATATGCCTGGCCACGGCGGGATTCGAACCTACGACCTTTGGAATACTAGCCCATTACTAGCCCAATACTAGACCTTTGGAATACTAACTCTCGTATTATCTCCTATCTTGTTTTAGTAAGTTAAATAAACGAAATAAACTCTCACTTTTTACACAAAACTCTCGCTCACAAGTCTCACATCTGCCCAAGTTTCCCTGCTTTGTTATGTCACATTATGCAACAGTAACGGCTTGAAACATTTACTCAACTACATCAGGTTTGTTAGTAATATTTAATTTGGTAAAGGTTTTTCCATTTAAAAAATGATAAAAAGTCATATTTTCCATCCTGACTCAACTTTCGCTTTATATAGCGCGGCGCTATGTTTGTTTTCTTTTTAAGCAATCTGTGAACCATTTCAAAAGCTGCATGATTGGTTGATTTTAACTTCCCATTGTTTTTCCAACAATCAGATCAGTTTGTTTCAGATTTTTGAGATTAGCAATTACAGTCGAGTACTATTATTGTCTCCCTTGCAGTCACTTTTTGTGTCGAGGTTTCTCCTCACGAGCGGGCTGCTTACTGGAGTACAACATTCCATTCCATTTGTCTTACGTTAGCCAATCAGATTTAGCGACATAAATATCTAAATAAATTTAGCAACATAAATATCTTAATAAGTCCAAGGTCATGTTTTTGAAATTTAGAAGCATTACTGTGATTGGTTGTTTTGAGGAAAGGAATGTCGTGCTCGAGTGAGCATGCAGCCACTCGTGAGGAGAAATCTCGACACAAAGAGCGGCTGCGAAGGAGACTATATATGTATTTTTTTATTATTGTTACAGTTCTGGTTCAGTTGAAGTCGAAGAAGTTGATGATTCCATCGACAGCAATGGTGAATTAAGGGAGCGTGGAAAAATTGGAATTGATCTCAGAAAAAAGGTCCCAACGCCACCGACGAGTGCAGAACGCTGTCAGTCTTGGGTCAGTCGACAACTATACAGTGGGATAACAAGGAGATCGTGTCGACTTTCATGCCCACCCACTTTAGATCTGGCAAAGTTCGCGTTGGGAGCCCGCTGGTATAGAATTGTGCAAAGATCCAAACAAGGAAATTCATTTTTTCCAAACTACTGCATATTTAGCACTTCTTGGGGACGACAAGATGCCGATGAATGTTGCTACACTTATTACGGATACTCTGTTTTCCAATACTACTATTACAACCCCTTTTTCCTTTATTACTATTACCCTTACAATTTTCGATATATATACCGCTATTATTATGGATTCGTCCTCAATAGTTTTCCGACAAGAGGCGCAGGGCACTGGCATCCATACCATCCAGAAAGAAATTATGCTAAATACATGGAAGAAGAGGACGCATATGAGGATTGCTGCACTCAACGAGATAGTACTTTGCAATCGTGTTCGAAATTCTACAGTATTCGCCCAACTTGCAAAAGCTTTTTTTGGTTTTTCCCAACAAGTTGGGGTAAGTCCCTGTCTCAATATTCAATTAACAGGTTAATTTTCAACCGTTTATAATTACTTGATCTATAAATATGTGATTTCATGTATCCAGTTTAAGTTATTTAGTTACCCGATACCGAATTGAAAACTTAAACGTACTTACAATTACGAACTACTAGTTTTCTCATTTGTATTCTTAGGAAAACAACTCTGAAGCTTCCAGTACCTAGATTTTTTCACTTTCCTCCTTCCCTCAAACTTTTTATTTAAGAAATAGAAAACGAGTCCCGTGCGTTTATGGTGCGGTAATAATGCACACGTCGAATGTCGGGAGAATGCGAGAAAACCGTTTTCTACGCTTCTCGAGTATTCTCTCAACATTCGCCGAAATGCAGGAGACGAGTTTTTCTATTCATTTTATAATATAAGTAGAAAATATCACATAGTAAACAATTTTATATATGAGACGTTAAGTCGTTGGTTTCGTCGTGTTGCTCTGTTTTAGTTTTTTTTTAATTAATGTATTTTTTGGCTTTTGGTTAAAAATATCATGGCCAGAAATTTAAGATATCAATACTGCGCATGCTCACAAAATGGCACACAAAATGGCGCAGACATTATAGGGGAATGCATAGGGAAAAAACAATTTTGGTATATTTGAGTCAGAATGATAGTAGTTTTGACACTTGCTGATTGGCTTCAATATATGAAACAGAAATAGCTCTAAATGAAATTGTTCCATTTCGTATGTTATCTTTACGATGAGTGCAGCTAATATTATAATCCTATTAATTAATCCAGGCCAATTTCACAAAAACCAGTAGATTCTCTCGACTGCCAATGATCAGCGACTACACCAATGAAATTTGTCTGAAAATAAAACATCTGTGTTGTACATATTTTCATCCATATTTCCAGCTATTTTCAAAGCAATCTGATGTACTTATCCTGTCCCATTTTAACGTTAAAACATCTCATATTTATCAGTCATTCAAGCCCATTAAGACAGACATAACAGGCACCAGAAAGGAAAATAATACAAAATTTACTACAATTTTTACACGAAATACAGGCAATGTTTGGGATCAACAAGAAGCTCAGAGACCAGGCCTTCAAGCAGTACGGGATTTATAAGGACATCGATGTTCATAACGGATTGCAATCAATTTTTGCTCACCCGTACTCTATTTAATCCGGCACATGTTGTTGGACATCGCGCCACATTGCTCGAAAATTTGAATTGCAAAGTATATAAATATTAGATATTCTAAGGAAGATAGATTTGAATTCACTGTAGCAAGAAATTTCTTTGTCAACTCACCATTGTTTAAACAATTCGAAAAAGGCATGCGTGAATGCCGATGCTATTGCCGTAACTATAACTGTTCCTTACGCAAAAGTTTGTGCGAGGAACAGTAAAATTTCGATTTTCTACTTTTTGGTGCGGTATTAAGTTTTGGTGCGGTTACTACTTTTTGGTGCTGCATTAAGTTTTCGTTTCCTGTTGGCAGCCATTTTGCATTCTTAGTTCAGTTGTTTTCACGCGACACTCTGCTGTCCGCTTAGCAGGCGCATGTCTTAAATTTCTGGTCATGATCTAGCAGTTTTTATCAGAAGCATTAATGTACTCTTTAAATCACTTATGTTCAATTCAGCTTTTATTGCCATTTTCTATGTTTTGGGCATTTTTTTGTTTTTTTCTCGACTATTTTACACCCTTTTGCCCAAAAATGGTCGCAACAAAAACAAATTAGATCAATGGCAATGCCAAGCCGGTTAAAATCGCTTTGTTCCTTTAGTCTGTTTCTTGTAGCGTTCTGATAAATTTTGTTATAATATTAAAAAAGCAGCTATAGCTTTGTTTATATTTTTGGCTAAAAAGCAGACATGAGAGAAAAACACGGAAAAGTCAGATGTCTGCTCTCTCATGTCTGCTTTTTAGCCAAAAATATAAACAAAGCTATAGCTGCTTTTTTAATATTATAACAAAATTTATCAGAACGCTACAAGTGCATTATTGCGTCACAATGCACGCGCATTAGTCAATCAAATTGTCTGTTATATCCCACTTATATTGTAATTTAAAATATTATAACATTTCAGCTAGCATGTTTGGTGATCCACACTTTGTTTCACTTGATGGCAAAAATTACACATTCAATGGTTGTGGATGGTTTACGTATTTCATAGGAGAAATTCCAGGTCAGAAATACTTTTCATGCTTATTTAGATCGTAGATATGTTACTTGCTTTATTGATACACGAGCATGCGTAAAATGTTCACATTATGGATCTGCTTATTTTTTAAAGTTTATCACGAAATTTTAATGCAAAAGACAATTGTTATTTGTCCGGTCATGAATTAATTTGATTGGTTCGATAATTGCCAGCGGTTGTTTTACACAATAATACCGGAACCTTACCACCACCTACCCTTCCCTAACCTTTATACCATAACCTCTAACCTGAACTGATCAGTCCATCTGCTCGCAGGTTAATTTACCGCGCCTTTACTCTGAAATGTTTTCATTCGGTAAATGATTATAGCCTACGGTGTAGATCACAGCAGGAACATGATGGAATTTTTCATTTCACCGCTTAAAAAATATTTATTAAAACGTTTACCTCATAAAAATATTTTCACCATTGCACGAACGAGAACAATCATTGTTTGTATACTAATTGCTCTCGTTGTAGCTATATCAGCATATAGCATCAAGTCCGCTATTATGCATAATCGAGAGCGAATGGTATAATTGTTTTGTCTCCACCAATAATATAATCCTGTTATAATATTTGGTTCAGCGACAATCCGATCTTGGCATGAAATATAAATCCTCTTGTAACGTTTAATAGATTACTTTAGATTAGTATTTTTGCACATGTGCATATAACAAATCCTTTTTTTTTATTTTTTAAATTTTATTTTCCCATGTACATTACAATTATTAATACATTATTACAAATTAACTATTTGGGCTAGAGACCTAATGGAAACCTTTGCAGGCTTTTGTATCTCGGCCACTAGTCATGTCCTATTTAGATTATTTTATTATTTACAGTGATTTTTAAGATAATATTAAATGCAGAAGAAACGTTTTATAAGGTATATATACAAAATATTTACAAATTTGAGGTATGAAAGGTAAATACTCTGGTGTTTACAATATTAAGATAAAGAGATATATACTAGTTAGATTATAATATGGTATTATTTTGCACAACGTCAAATTTGACGTATAACTTTGGTCAAATTTGACGTATAACTATTAATCTGTTATATTCACCTAAAACCGAAATTTACAAAATGGCGGCTAGCCGTTTTGTGTAAGTTACTGATAAAGAAATAAGTGAAATTAAAATAAATTCAGTCTCGAAAAACA